CAAAAAGCAGCGTCCATTGTAAGTGATTTCATCAGCATTTGGAAAAGCTGAAAACATTGTCTTTAATATCACTTTAAAGAAGGGGAAAAATGATTAACCATTTTGGGTTAACCGCTCATTTTTGTCTAGGTGCTAAAAAAAATAAAAAAAAATAAAGTTATATGCACTTGAACTGCTCAGCCCGACTCCCTGCTTCTCCACTCACTGAAGCGTGTCTCCTTCTCCACTGCACAGACGGAATGTTTCTCAGCCTCCTCACATCTATACACCTGTGTATATAGCGTGATGACACAAGGTTTCTTAGACCGCTGCAGAGGAGGGGGAGAGAGGCTCTAGGGACCAGTTTAAGAACAAGCCAGCTCAAATGATCGGGTTAGTGTAACCTTTTCTTTTTAGCACCTACACACAAATGAGCAGTTAACCCTTGCAGTGCAGTGCAGGGGTAGCCCCACTGCAAGGGTTAATAAACGATTTGCCCGGAGTTGTTCTTTAACTAAAACTAGCAAAAGTGTGCCCATTCATTGAAAGAGGTGTATTCTAGATTTGTCCATGTCCCATGGAGAACTTCCATGGGAGGCCACTGGGAGCAAAGCCCAGCCAGGAAAATTGCTGAGATTTTGCAGCTACCACAGCATGCACAGTAAAGTACTCTGAAATGCAGATTGGTAATAATTGGGGCTGGGGGGAGGGGGGTGGGCTATAGCAACTTATAAATAACTATACTAAAAATAAAGTATACGAAGGTGGCAATAACGAGGGCATTGTTTGTGGCTCGGCGTAGTATAGCCTTTAGGTCAGTGGTTCTCAACCTTTCTAAGGGCCGGGACCCCTTGGTAACATTTGCCAAGTTGTGGTGACCCCCAAATGTAAAATTTAGGGATGACTCGGCTGCTGCAGCGACATCTGGTGGCATGGCGGGAGAACTGACACTGCTGTGCTAGGAGATGGCAGAGGAGGACTCTCACCTAGCCCAGCAGAAATCACACAGCGTGTACGCCGTCAGAATAAAAAAAAAAAAACACCCTAGGAATGCATAGTTAAATTCCTATTGGCTATTTCACTTTGCAATAGCCAATAGCAAACTAGCTATTGCACCCGCCCTCTACTGCTGTCAATCACTAGAAGGGGACCTGATGGAAAACTTCAGGTCCCCCTCTGCTGATTGGCAGCAGCAGAGGGCGGGTGCAATAGCTAGTTTGCTATTGCTAAGTGAAATAGCCAATAGGAATCTAGCTATTCATTCCTATGGTGGGTTTTTTTTTCTGACTGACGGCGGATTGCGGCCCCGATGTAAGGAAAAAAAAAAAAGAGCAGAGAAAGGTTTACTCTTTCCGGGAGAAAGTGTTTCTCTCCCGGGTGGCCAGGAACCGCCAGGCAACCCCTGGCAAATCGTCATTCGACCCCTGACGGGGTCGCGACCCACAGGTTAAGAACCGCTGCTTTAGGTGGATCTCAGCAACGCCTCCCACCGTGGAGGAGTGGAAGAAAGAACTAGATAAAGTGGTTGAATTTGAAGGAATCATGTTTAAACATAGAGGTAACATGGATAAATATGGCAAAATGTGGGATAAGTGGATTGAATACAGTAATGGAGTTTGGTTATAATGTCTGTTTTATCTGCGATTGGTATTTTGTGGAATATGTTATGAGAATTTTTTCCCCCCTCTTTTCTTTTCGTTTAATGTATTGGTTTTTGTCTTTGTATCGTTGTTTTAAATATGTATCTATGCATGTAAAAGTGTTTGTTATGTACTGTATTATTAAAATAAAAAAAGTATTAAAAGTAAAAAAATAAAGTTATCCTTTAACATAACAGAAATGCGATGATCAGCATTATGGAGGGTATAACAAAGCACAGGATTTGGAGTGGTGTGGAGTATTTAATATCCTGCACAATGTACACAATGAGACAGTCTGAAGTATGTCACAGAGAGCACAGTACAAGGAGAGGACAATCTACCATTCACACCAATAAACCTATTACACCTCATACCACCCTAACCCTCCTCAGTGCCCACCCTGCACTGCCTACATTTTCTATAAGCCCGCCCATACCCATGAACCACCAAACAGATGCCCTCTCCCCCCCCCCCCCCCCCCGACAACCCCCTCTCCCTTCCCC